CTCACAGCAACCTCCAACTCCTGGGCTCAAGCAAGTCTCCTGCCTCAGCCTCCCAAGTAGCTGGGACCACAGGCACCCACCACAACATGGCTATTTTTTGGTTGCAGCTGTTGTTGTTTGGCGGGCCCGGGCTGGATTCGAACCTGCTACCTTAGATGTACGTGGCTGGTGCCTTAGCCACTTGAGCCACAGGCATGGAGCCAATATTTGTCTTTTTGACAGCTAAATAATACTTCATAGTATGGTTAAACCATATTTACATAGACTATGCTGACAAGTTACTTTTCCTAACGGTTATAACTATTACTCCCACTAGCAAATATCTGAACGTGTCTGCTTCCCCACACCTTCATTAGGACTGGATAATAACCATTTAATTTTTAAGATCGATCTCTCTCTCTCTCTCTCTCTTTTTTTTTTAGACAGCCTGGGTAGAGTACTGGAGCATTACCACTCACGGCAACCTCCAACTCCTGGGGTTAAGTGATTCTCTTGCCTCAGCCTCCCAAGTAGCTGGGACTACAGGTACCCACTACAACGCCAGGCTATTTTTTGGTTGTAGTTGTTGTTGTTGGTTTTTTTTTTGTTTTTTTTAGACAGGAGCCTCAAGCTGTCCCCCTGGGTAGAGTGCTGTGGCATCATAGCTCACAACAACCTCCAACTTCTGGGCTCAAGCAAATCTCTCCCGAGTAGCTGGGACCACAGGTGCCTACCACAATGCCTGGCTATTTTTTTGTTGTTGTTTGGCAGGCCCAGGTTGTATTCGAACCCTCCACCTTGGGTGTATGTGGCTGGCGCCTTAGCCACTTGAGCCACAGGTGCCAAGCCAGTTGTAGTTGTTGTTTGACAGGCCCAAGCTGGATTTAAACCTGTCAGCTCTGGTGTATGTGGCTGGCACCTTAGAGGCTTGAGCTACAGGAGCCAAGCCTAGTAGCCCTTATTATAGGTCAATCCTACAGGAAGCTCTAAAGTACAATTCTACTCATGGCACATGCCCCTGCTTTAGAACTTTTTTTCTGTATATTCCCAATTTACCTCTTTGGTCATATTTCCCATCCCTTCCTTCATCTTCCTGATTATGTATTGTTTCTCCAGCATGTTTATATATACATATAGCCATGTATATTATATGGTTTTTTCATCTCCACACTTTTTTTCACGGTGGTCTAGCTCCTAGAATGTTCCTTCTCTTTCTCTGCCTAGAAAAATAATTCTCTAAGGTTCAAATCGAATGTCTTTGTGAGGTTTTCTTAGACTGGCAATTGACCAATACCTTTAGCATGTATCAGAATTATTTGGAGGGGTTGTTAAACCACAAATTGCTGCCTCATGATCACTGTTGGGGTGGGTCTGGGTGGAGTCTGAGAATTTGCATGTCTGACATTTATGCTACTGGTCCTGGGACCAGAATTTAAGAATTGCTGTTCTAGAACATCACTCATCCCCTGCAGAACGAACTCCTGGTTCTGTGCTTCCATTTCATTAGTTGATTCCACTTGTGAGTTGTCAGTGTATGTTTCTGTCTCCTCCAGTGCAGCAGTTCTCAATCTTTGGGTCCTGATCCACAGGAACGTGGCATTAGGAAGGTTGAGAACCACTGCTCTAGTGGTTTGTGAACAGCTCAAGCCTGAGCCCCTGCCTTAATCATCATCTTCTTTTTTTTTTTTTTTTTTGAGACAGGAGCCTCAAGCTGTCCCCCTGGGTAGAGTGCTATGGCATCACAGCTCAAAGTAACCTCCAACTCCTGGGCTCAAGCGAGTCTCCTGCAAGCGCCCGCCACAACGCTTGGCTATTTTTGGTTGCAGCCATCATTGTTGTTTGGGGGGCTCGGGCTGGATTTGAACACGCCACCTTGGGTGTATGTGGCTGGCGCCTTAGCCACTTGAGCCACAGGCTCTGAGCCTTAATCATCTTCAATATATTGCCCCAGCACATGTGAGGCTCCATAACATAATGTCTGATGAATAAGGAGAAAGCTTTGCTTTGCTGATTGAATTATATTTCTTTCTTTCTTTCTTTTTTTTTTTTTTTTGAGACAGAGTCTCACTATGTCACCCTTGGTAGAACGCTGTGGCATCACAGCTTACGGCAACCTCAAACTCCTGGGCAAGTCTCTTGCCTCAGCCTCCCAAATAGCTAGGACTACAGGTGCACACCACAATACCCTGCTATTTTTTGTTGCAGTTGTTATTGTTGTTTAGCTGTCCCGGGCTGGGTTCAAACCCACCAGCCTCGGAGTATATGGCTGGCATTGTAACCACTGTGCTTTGGGTGCCGAGCCATTATATTTCTACCAGTTAGATTTCTTTCAGCTTTTCAGTATAGGGGGTGGGTGGGATGGAGGAATGAGCAATGCTGAAGAGAAATGGCATGCTGTTTTGGAGCACTGTATTCTAGTCTCCTATATCCATTGCCCTGAGAAGGCTGTAATGGTCAGTCCTATAGAAATTAGCAGGCTCGGTGCCTGTGGCTCAAGTAGAGTACTGGAGCATTACCACTCACAGCAACCTCCAACTCCTGGGCTCAAGCAAG